GACTTAACGTTGGACTTTACTGTTAATCAAAGAAAACTATCAAAATCATTCCCTTTACGTTCATCAGATAGAAGCCATTATTGTATGGGTTAATATATCAGTGTTCAGAATTCGAAACTATCAGATACGAATTTCCAGGCTGGTAGCTCATATCGACACCTCTGCATTGTCTAGATGGAAAGTCGTGTTCAGTCAATGGAGTTCTAATACAGTTCCTAATAAACTTAGTTGCTATCACGATGGTCGACCTAGGCATATTATCTTATTGTTTGAATGCTTGAGTATCATATTTTACTGTAATTTTTGTTTTGTTTTTTGATAGTTTACTTAACAGTAAAAGCCAATATTATGAATCTATTTCAAAAAGGATTACTCGATAATTTTACTCAAAACATTCTTGCTACAATTATTTTTTTTAGTTTGCGACACATATAAACAGGCGTAATTTTCATTTGACACCACTCATCACCATACATGTATCCACGATTTTCGCGAAATGCTTGTCTGTAAGAAGCATGAACTTAAATTTTCTATAAATATTTCAAAATTAAAATAAAATGAGTACTCAGTATAATATTTGACTCTTTGTAAAGGCGTTGCATGTCTAGGCAATTGTAGAGTCCTTAGTAATCTCATTGCAACATAAAAAAACCAATTTTTTTAATTATTTATGAGTAAAAAAAATTTTAATGAAAATTTTGGTGGAGGCGCCGGGACAATTTAAAATAAAGACTATAATTGAGCTGTATTCAGACTTCAGTGAAGTAGATTGATGAATTTTCATCTTTAAATTGTATTTCTTTCGTTATATACGCAATTAGGGATGCTAACTTATATTTTTTTACAATTAAACTACAATTTACAATGTAATACTTAGGCAACCCAACATACAACAAATTTTACACTAATAACGTAACTGCTAGGCAAACTAGAAAACGTTTTCTCTCATGCAAATAACCTTTTTAAGTGAAACTCAGTGCTATTCTCGAATAAATCACATAAATATTACGTAAAAATAATTAATTAGAAATATTTTTATAAAATTTGATTGAAAATCCTCCCTCGTTTTTATAGCATTAAATTACTAAAGTTCGATGACTTTGTATCACTTTTAGTTTAAGTTATGACTTTCTATGAAATAGTTATTTTGTATTTTTCATTGTTTTCTGTCTCTTTCCCAGGAAACTGTCGCATGGCGCTTATTAAACTGCTTATAGTTACACTTATTAAACGATGTCAACTTACTTGAGTTGATCGGTATTCTATCAGAATCGTCTGTGGCGTGCTGATGAGAACCAATTAAAATCACAATTCTACAAAATGCTGACTAAAAAGCTCGTTGTGTGGTTGCTGTTAGTACTCTCATTGAAATAAACACTTTAGTTAGTATTTCTCCAGCTCCAGAAAAGGGATTGAATTGTGTTTTCGGTATTACCGAACTAACTGTGTATATATATACATATCTTCACGATTTTATCACAAAGAAATGCTTTGCTTTGATCACGCTGTGTTGTCCACCGCAGTCGCTTTTTCAATTTAGCATCTACTGTCTGTCATTTCTTCATCGTTACATTCCACCTGTGTTGTCAACTGCCTTTTTGTAGGAACAGTAGTACTATAGTACTATGGAATAGCTTAAAGGACATTTGATTGATATCTCTTTACGATTTTGCTTTGTAGAATTTTGAAATTAAAATCTCTACCCGAAACACTAGATAGCTTTTAAAACATCAGAAAGCAACATTAGTGAAGTTTTTTGTAATATTTCATCTTAATGAAGAAACTAAAGTTGCATTTGTGTATCAGTTCAAAAGAACAGGATTAAGGCTCATGACGTTAGCACTATATAAAACCTTAATCTCAACTGGCTTTAAAAAAGGGAAAGGAAGGAAATCCAAGAAAGAGCAGATTGTGACGAATTTGTCCAAACTTAGATATTAAATATAATCCTTGCATGAACATTTTATCTATACAGAAATGGGATAAATTCATTCAATTGCCGCAAATTAAGAACGATTCAGCAAAAATTTTGTTTGAAGCGAGGAGCAGATGTTTCAAAGTACAGAAGCGTCTCGTTTCACTCGAAAGTTGAACGGAAAACGTGATTGGAATTAAAAATGTTGAAATATATGTTTTACTCGTGGTTCACCTTAAGTAAGCAATTCTGGTTTTCGTTGAAGAAAGTCTAAACTTATTCTGTTTAAAAAAATGACATTTCTTTCTTATTCATCGTCCTTCATAGTTTCATTATGAGTCGGTTCTTTTCGAAGCAAAGGACAAAATGCAAATTAGTTTTCCATATTCAGCGTCAGTATAAACGATTACCGACAATTTTAGTTGATTCAGTGGAGACAAGGAGAATAATCAAGTGAGAAACAGTTTCTTAATGTTTCTGCGGTGGAAACCAAGCTTTAGGTGTACAATCTACGCTACTAATGCTAAGCTGCCNTAAATTGTACCCGTTGTAACGTGGAAACTCATTATGTAGAAACATCTGTTACGACTTCATTTTTATTTAAATAACTTCAATTCTTGTTTAAGTTCGCGTTTACTTCAGTTTAGCAGTGCATCTCTGCTGCATAGAGAAGCATATGTAACACTGTTCGGCCAAAATTAAACAGGAAAGTTCGTAAAATTTACTGGCAAGAGGATAAGTTCCGCAGAGGGTATAAGGATATAAATTTTCGAATGCGATCGTGTGCCAGCAACCGTGAAGTGCATGGCGACTGTTTGTCCAGCAGATCTCATTGGTATGACTGTGATGCGCTCCATTATTATTACTTACTTATGTATATAAAACGCTAGTGCTACTATGTACTATATATAATACCGTTGGCTGCCAACAGCTTCAGCAACAACAATTTACTGCTACATCTTTCTAACCCTATGAGAAATCTATTTTTCTACTGCATCAAGTTGGTGCATTGAATCTTCTTGATCTTATCGTCAAGAAAATCTTATTACTATAGTGTTCTCTAGCTGAATACCACCACTCCAGACGAAAAAGTTTTAAATGTATGAAGAATGTTCTAGAATATTCTTTAATATTCCTAAAGTAGCCAACTGATAGAATGTTCTCGAATATCCATGATTGTTTTCAAGTAGAATGTTCTAGAGTGAGCTAGACCGGAAGAACCGAGAATGTTTTGGAATGTTGAAGGGTATTTTCTGTTAAGACCAAAGTGTCCTAAACTATTTTTGAAATTTCTGTTATGTTCCAAATTTCTCCAAGTTGGTGGGTGAATGGGTTTGCGGGTAGACCACATGCCATCAAACACCAATGCAGATAAGTGAGAATGCAGTAGAATATTGTTTAATGTTTCTAAGGTGGTCCAAAGATAGAATGTTCTCGAATATCTAAGATTGTGCTGAAGTAGAATGTTCTAGAGAGAGCTAGACCGGAAGAACCGAGAAAGTTTTGGATATTTTCTGTTAGGACCAAAAGATGTTTGAAATCTCCTGTTGTCTTCGAAATTTCTTCAGGTTGGTGGGTGTGTGGGTTTGCGGGTCGACCACATGCCACCAAACACGAGTGCAGATAAGTGAGAATACACTAGAATATTCTTTAATGTTTCTATAGTGTAGTCTGAAGATATAGTGTTCTGAATATCTAGGATTGTCTTCAAGTAGAATGTTCTAGAGTGAGTTGAACCAGAAGAATTTTTAGAATGTTTCGGAATGTTTGGAGGATCATTATGCTTAAGCTATGAAGCTGAATTTTGAAACTAAGTTAGGGTATTTTTTAATATTTCTAAGGTGATCCAAAGTGTAATGTTCTCGAATGTCTACGATTGATCACAGCTAGAATGTTCTATAGTGAACCGGATTTTCTGGAATCTTCCGGAATCAATACGTATGAACGATATAATTCGAACAAAATGTAGTTACTACGGTGCTAATTTACTTCTAATATTTGCGGTATCAATGACACTGTTTTCCTTGTATCTCTTTGTCGTAGAAGTAATAACATTTGGCGTTAACGTCGAGCTTTTTGTTATGCAGATGACCGAAATGAATCCTGCCGTAACGCACAGGCTTTGTATACGTTAATTGTGAAAGGGTCTTGCATGTCAAATAGACAGTCCGACATTCCACTATGTCATATATGAGCAAACATTTAAACGCTGTTAATTGCGGTTACACAAATGTCAAGTAAAGTCCAGCAAACATGACATATGTATGTAAATTAGCTTCAGTACTAAAGGCTAAGTCGAAATAAGAGTTCGAATCAGCGTTTGTCAGAGTTAATTTAGATTATTAGTACTTAGTAGGCATATTATAAAGGAAAATATACGAACTAATGAAACAACAAAAATTATCATTTAAACTACTTCTTAGAAGCCCCCCATTGTGGTTCACAATTTCCAATAACTGCGAAAGTGAGATTTGTTAATTCAGTGTCATTTTGGAGATTTTAAATCTGCAGAGAAGTATACTTCATTTACTTTCTCTAGCGATGTAGGTAGGGAGAAGAAAGCTCATTATACTCTCGACTCTTGTTCATTAAAAATACTTTTTCATACAGTACTTGCCAAAAGTTTTGTTCAATCATGATTAGTCGTGCGAGTCGAAAATTAACGTTAAAGCCTTTAATATGTCTTCAAATATAAATAAACATCTCGTTTATGTTTTGAGTAGTAAATGGTACCAATAACAGCACATTTGAGCATTGCAATTGTAGTGAATAAAATGGTCAATTTTTCCGTGCAGTACTGTACGGATTATACGCTCCTCACCGGTTAAGAGTTTGACCGAGAGTTGTCTCCTTCCTTTTCTGGCCTAGTGCTATTCTTCTCTACTTGGCGCCGGTCAAACTGAAGGTCACATCGCTACAGAAAGTAAACGAAGTATAGGAAAACACCGTGCGGTGAAATAATCATTGTGGTCCCAAGAAAGAATTTTGTAAAATGAAAGTTAATGTTGTTTTTAAAAGGGCATAATGCTACATCAATTCAAAAAAATTATAATTTTTAATGTTTAATTGCTTATTTTCTTTATAGGTTTCCTTGGTCGCTGCAATAAGGGGCGAACCCAAGAACAGTAGCGTACTGATTGGAAATATCGATCATAATGACATCACCTACGATGGGGACTCTGAAAAGGTAAAAATACTTTGTAATGATTACTGAAACATCACCTGTTTGCATTGTTTTGGAATGTTCTCGAGGTTTTTGCCGATTTCATCGATCCTAATTCATAACAGTAATATATA